AAAGCCGGCGGGTACTAAGCACCAGTTATTTAATTTTGAATACGTTTTGAAAATGAACTGTTTAAGCATTTTTTACTACCATGTTTTTTATCATCATGTTTTTACAGTTAAGTCGTTCGTATGAACGTACGTATGCGTTTTTATAACAGCTTTATATTGTTATTTTGTATCATTAACATTTTAAGTAATAAAGGAAATAACTATTATTGTATGCTTCAATAACAATTTTTAGACTAGACGAATATTTATATTAAAAGGTGGCAGTTTGTTTAGTGGTTAAAACGGCTCAACGGTTAAACCCGGCATTGCGTCCGACTTGACCCGAGTCATTGGTGCCCACTAGTACTCTGCATGGTCCTGTCTAGTACAGTCCTAACATACAAAAACTATTGAATCGTTGGTTTGGTCGGGTTCGATAAGTTTTAGGAATAGTTCGGTCCAGTCCTCAGATCAAATGCATTATTTTCAGTCCGGTCCGGTTTCAAAAAAATAAAAAATGAAAATCAATCCGGTCCCGATCACGGAACTTAAAATCTAAGTACAGATATTGTTACGTTTATAAATAAAACGAAAAAAAAACATACAAATGTAGTAGGTATATATTTATTTATTAAGTCGGGTAGTCCGGTCCAGAGTAATACTGAACGTATCATATGGTACGGTCTGGGCTAATGCAGACTGAACCTTACGAACCGGTCCATAAACGGTCCAAAATGTTTTAAGATCGGACCGACAGTCCGGTCCACTGTCTACTTTATAAAATGTTATTTTATTACTGGTCCGGTCCGGTCTAAAAATAATGTGAATCCGTCGGTTCGGTCTTTGATTAACGTTTAAGTGTGGTCCGATCCGACTTCGGTCCCCTGGTTAAATTTGAAGTCCGGTCCGGTCCTTAAAATAACCGTCCGTGCAGAGCACGTTCGTGCCCACGGAACGGAAACCGTTTCTTCTCCGAGTGTTATCGCGCGCGCGGATTCGTACACGCGGCCGGCAGTGAAAGCCATCGCCGCCGAGCTACGAACGCGCGACGGAGAAAGTGTAATAATATAATATTACCGCCGGTACACGTGTACTTGAGATACGAAACAACCTTGACGGGAAAATCCTGTCTTCTAAATAATTGGACTGCGGTGTGACTGCGTGCCAGCGCGGCAATTATTTCGATAACAATTACTGCGATCGTATGGAAACGCGTTAACGCGTCTCATCATTAACCGGCTACACTTTTCGTTCCGAAACCCTCTCGCCGCTGCTACCGCGGTCCTAACGTCCGACGCACACCGCAACGTTCTCAATAACTCCACCGTTTTCCCGTTCGTTATTTACATTCCATCGCACGCGCTAGTCGTTGTGCACTGCACTGATCCGCGTCGATTCCCGTCACCGGTACAACGTCATGTCCAACGTACGTGTTTACACCTTTAAAACGTTTGCAACACGTTCGGTACGGTGTACGGCGTTACCGTGCGCAATTAACATTGCGATACGATCGCGGCGAAATTGTTCTCCTTTACAGCGATGCGCAGTGTAAAACCGCGAGAAGAAACCCGACAGTGAACAATTAACCTCCGAGCTGCGCACTTTGCGTGATCCTCGTGTTCGACACGTGTTCGGATACATCTTCGAAGTACGCCGCGCCGTCTCGTGCCCACACGTCCATCCCGTACGGGATACGAGTGTATAAATGTTAGATAAATAATAGATCCGATGCGTGCGATTTCATTAGATCTATTCCATAGGATCGGGTGCCCGTAACGTGGTTTTTATTACAATATGTTTTATGTAGTCGTGCTTGATACACGTTTTACAGGTGTCCGTTTGGCTATGAAATGACTTGTAGACACCTCTAGTGTTAACGTCCAAATGGTGACATTAAAGTATTTAGACATTGTAGCGAAAGAAAAGTATAAAATAGCTATAAATATCAAACGTTATGATATTATATACGCGTAGATGTCGATTAAGCAATTTTCAAACGAATTGACATTTGACAATATTGGTTAATCGTTTTGTTTTATACGATCGAACGCAACAATCTCAACATGACGCATATACTTACTTATTTATTCGTATATGGCTTATGGTAAAAATATTAGACACTTAGCATTTGAACAGGAAATTAATTCGACATTATATAATTGAATACGATAAAAAAAAAAAAAATAAAAATAAAAATTTACATAACCCTCGTTGGACTATAGTAACAATAAATAATATAATAACTAAATAAGGAACATGCATTGTAATATGTAATGTAATCTGGGTGGATATTATTCATTGAACGTGTAACTTATTATTGAATCTCTCGGACATCAATATTTTAGTTTTCACGTTCCATGACCTACATTTTATTTTATTTAGCTGACAGCAGTCTGATGTTCAGAATATACTGCGTATTATTATGTAAATTTCTCATTATTCGGAGTTTGGAAATGTATCCACGTTATGAGTCCATATGATAGTCGCTACGGGCTTGAACCCATTATTCGTGGGAAACACCAGCAAACCCCTATTTTTCCGTGTCTTACTTGAACATTATTTTGGCCGTAGTACGTAGGATTTGAATGCGAACGATTTTATCGTAAATTACTGTTAGATAATATTGTTTTCGTTGAAGATTATATACTAGTTCACCACATATCGGTCCACTTCAATCATAATTATTTGTAGAAATGATGACAAGTTTCCGTGTCGGTTTTCGAAAGTTCAGTACATAATTACCTGCGTCGGTTGAGTATTGTTAATTATTTCGTAAGTACTACTTCCGAGAAATGCAATCCATTCGCATGTTAACAAGTTTCAACGTTTCAGTTGTGGATACATATTTTCGTGTTACTCAATATACCACTGCGTACGAGTGGCGTAGACTTAACCATTCACGTATACCTATATAATAATACACGTAGCTGATTGAAGTGAAGCATATGACTCTCGTTTTATACACCCAGACACCGTATACGGAAGTTTCGACCTAGTCGGCCTTAGGTTTACACAAATAATCAAAGTCTCTGTGTAGTGACAAAGTTTGAATTACGGTATTACGTGATATATTAATCTCTGTCCATGCCTCCATCAAGTGCTCATTATAAATCAATGCTCCATCCCTACAGATGAATTCGGCTTTGAATGATATTCATTTAAAATATCCAGATTTTATTTTTCACTTTTTTTTTGTATGGATAAAATATTAAATTATGTCTCACGAGGATTAACTAGTCTTGGTACCACCAGAGTTAATAAAAATAATTAAATGTTGTTTATCGCTTTGATAATAACTATAATATTATTACCTAGCGCCTTATAAGTTATAAATTATTATGTGAAATATGACTGTCTACCGATCAGCCGATCAGGAGTTCCAAAGAAGGAAAACGTATCAAAATAGCTATGAATTGTTTTGTATTATAAAATAGAATATAGCGTATTGTTGCATTATAGATGTTCTGCATTAAATTAATACCTACTGTAAATATGTTTTATTTAATACTGCAGAAATTGACCGTTACTTGGTCAGAAAGTGTTTGATATACCACCAAAAATATAAGAGTTGTGTCTTTTTCGAACAACCCTAACGGTTTCATTGACGGCTTGCGATTTAGCTTTGGAAAAATTTCACTGTTATATTCAGCTGTAGTTATTCCCTATGAAAGTATAATTGAAATTTGTACACATTATCCACAAATACCTTCCTTTTGTGGTTGATATTCAGTTAGATTTCATTGGTGCACGTGGAATAAATGTACCGATAGTTTTTTCTCAGTCCTCGTTTTGCGCTTTGATAGCTACAAACATAAATATACGAATACAATTACTCTGGTATTTTAGAATGTGTACATTATTGCTCCTCGTTGATATTTTGTCTCATAAACTACGTGACATTTTATTTTGTCATATTTTGTTTATCTTTTGGTCAAGTCTTGTGAACTCGCACTTATACCATTGTATCTATGTTAGTAAGACGGAAAATTACATTTTTTAGACTTAATAAACGATCAATTAACTATGATGTTTTAATTCATAGTGTTTTATGTATATTTGAACTTAATATAATTGTATGATTACTATTTTTTGAGAAACAACCATTTTGTTGTTTTATGCCATTAATGTTTAGATTTGCACGCAGTCATTATGTAATTCGTAAAAAGATTGAGGCTACATTAAAAAGTCAAAATTTCAGTTGTGAGTCAGCCCGAATAGGTCCTACAACCTTATAGACAAAAGAGATACTGACGTCTGATGGGTATCATACTCGATCTTTATCGGATAGAATTTATTGCATTTTAATAGTCGTGTTTTGTAATGAACTATACAGAAGCCGGTTTCTTGTATTATACAAAAAAACGAAGCCAAAGAAATGCTAACGCCCATGAAATAGCCATCAATGAGAATAATACATTATTAAATGAGCTATTACTATTTGTTTAATACATAAAAGCAAACATATAAAATCTGTAAAAGTTGTATAGTACAACCAGTATAGGTACTTAATATTGATGAGTCATCGATTGTGTTTAAAAAAAAAAAAAACTCTTTGGTTACACAATGAATAATAAACTGTAGTAGTTTTTGTAATATTTAAGTTAATTGAAAACTTATTGAATGGTTCAAACATTTTATATTATATCTTATTTTTTTACGACTGATTATTTTAATGTAGTGCAACTGTTAAGGAATAATATTTAAAAAAATTGGAATTAATTTTATTCATATTACTTTATTTAGTATTATTTATTCAGCAAGTAAATTATGACAGTTATGCAATTTTATGAGTACTGCATTATGATAAATTATGTATTTATAGGTATAATACTTCTCGCTGTGCAATATTATAATATTTTGTTTCAATAACCATTCTTTAAATTGTTTACAGACCATTTTGGTCGTATTGATAACTACGAATACTGCTCTAACGATTAAAATAATCTTTTATTGTTTAAATAAATAAGTAATCATATATAGATACATTAGTACATTACATATGTATATAAAATATATATAAAAAAATAAATACAAATAAACTACGTGTTAAAGCTATAAATATTATTTGTACAGTTCTAAATACTTAACTATTAACTACAATGTTATAATGTTGCAACAAAATATTAATCTGATATAATTTATAAATATATAAGAATTCAATATTTTCGTAGAACACTAACAGTTTAACGGCGACAACGACCTACGACGTGGGCCTAGACTTGAGAACTTAGAAATATCCAACTAAAGATACACGTGTTCGATAAATTTAATCGGGGAAGAGAGGAATACAATTCAAATCACAATGAATAGAACTTTAAATAATGTGAACATTAATATTAACACAAAATATTGAATGCGAATAAATAAATGAATAATAACTATAAAAGTCCGGATTAGGCGTGTATCCAGGAGTTTTAGTGAGAGGAATTTGAATAATTCTCTATTAACAAATAAATATTTTTGATTGACATTGTGTTAATCTAATCCTACTGAAAACATAATTGTTTTTCGCCTTCCAGGAAGATTACAATAGTAAGTATTAGCAAAAAAAAAAAAAAAACTGTGTAAAGTGTAAATGGAAAAAAATACTAATGAAAAAACGTATTTTGGATAGTCTAAAATTCGGTTTCGGGTTAGCAGCGGATGAGTCTTAGGGGTTCTAATAAATAGTCCGATATGGAGCACCAATTAAAGTTAAAAGCAAAAATTTATGAATTAACAGTAAACCATTAAAGACGAGCATATTTCAGAGATGAATAGTGAAGGGTTGATCCGTGTCCAGAGGCCGAAAGCTTGCCCTGGACACGTCGTTGAATCGATAGTCGAGCATACTGCATACCGTACTAGTATATTCGTGCTTGCGGAAGTGTAATATCGAAACAAAGCGTTATAACGGGACGAAACGGTACAAGTTCCGTGTCCTGCGATCGGACGATCTCGGCCTTCCCGTCGTGCACGTCGCGTTACGCATTACATTTACCGTACAGTAATAATGATATTGATGATAACTCTAAATAGCATTATGTTAAAAAAAAAAAAAAAACAATTATAATTGACACGTTGAGCAGTGCACTGGGTCTGTGGCGCGCGCGATCACCGTCGCTCGTTGTGATGCCGTTTGCTGGACATCGACGACTGGAAGAACGACTCGATGGGCAAAAGCGGCCGGTCCGCCGCGTACGACGTGTGATACTTGTGCCGGAACGACGACGATGGAGACGGCGTCACCGCGATCGTGGTGGCCACGAATTCCACGTCCTCGGAGGACGAGGCGTCCAATGCGTCGGACGTCTTCTCGTTCGGTGGCGTCGCGGACGAGCTCCTCCTTAGCGCGTTGCTGTCGTCCGCGGTCGTCCTGAGCATGGGCACCGTGCGCCTCTTGGCCGAGTACACGGCCGGCCTGGTGGGCTCGGTCGCGGCCACCGGTTCGCCGTCCGCCGCCGCTTCCGTGGCCGCCGGCTCGGTGCTCGTCCTCAGCCGGTTGTAATACTTGCCGGGTTTGTACTTGCTCCGGTACGCCGCCCGCGGTGGTTCCGTCGCGGTCTCCTGCTGCTGCTGCTGCTCCTGTTGCGGTTCCTCCGTGGTGCTTGTGCTAGTGGTGGCCGAGGACTGCTTGTACCGGTTGGGCCGGGTGCGCGGCTTGTACGGCTTCCGAACCGACGTGGTCTGCTGGTCCACCGACGCGGTTTCCGTCGGTTCCGTCACCGGCGTCGCCGGAGTCGTGGTGCTGGTCGTCCGCCGACCGGTCGCTTTCTCCGTGGTGGTCGTCGACGTGGTAGTCGTTCTGTAGTCTTTGATGCTGAACCGCGGTCGCGTGCCGTTTCCGTACTTGGTCTTGGTCTTGAGCCGCGCGTCCACCGCAGGCGCCACCGTCGTCGTCGTCGTCGTCGTCGTCGTCGGAACCACGGTCGTGGTCGTCGTGGTCGTCGTAGTCGTGCTCGATGTGGTCGTCGCTCGTTCCGGTATGTATTCCACGTTCTCGGCCAGCGGTTGCGGTTGCTCTTTGGGCCTGGACAAAGGCGCGGGCTTCTTCTTCTTGTACTTGTTCACCGACACCGGTGGCACCGGTCGTTCCTCTCCGACCACGTAGTTCATCGGCGCTTCGGTCGTAGTGGTTACGTCGTATTCTTGCTGCTGCCGGTGTTGGTACTGGTATTGGTGTTGCGGTTGATAGTCCTGTTGCTGTTCTTGCAACTGCAGCTGTTGACGGTTTGGTACCGCGTACTCGTCGTACTCGTCCGGTACAGCGGTCGTCGTCGTCGTCGTCGTCGACGTGGTCGTGGTTGGTTTCCTCTTGCGTGTCAACCTGGGCGCGGCCGTAGTCGAGGTCGTGGTCGTCGTCATCATCGGTTTCGTCGGGTTCTTGAGTATGTCGTACTGCTCGTTGGACTCGTTTTCGTCCTGTTCCTCGCGCGCGTCGTACTCGGACGAGCCACCCGACGGTTCCTTGAAATACGGTGCCTTCGGGCGCTCGTGCGTCGTCTGGTAGCCCAGCGTGACCGGCGTTGGCAGGAACGACGGCAGCGCGTTCACCTCTTTTACCGGGAATATCCGGTACAGCTCTTCGTTCTTGGGAGTCGGCGTCTGGTACTTGCTGAACGGCCTGGTCGCGGGGTGCGTGAACCCGGTAGACAGATCCACCGACACCGGTGCCGCAGCCTCGACATCCTGCCCGAAACGTACCTCCGTGCCCACATTCAAGTTGTGCACGTACTGGTTAGGTTTTATGAACACGTTTTGGTCCCTCGTTTGTTCGAACGGTCGGGCAAAATTCGAGATCTGAGGATACAACTTTTGGCTCTCCACGTGACCAGGATACTTTTGGAAGTATCCCGAAGATCCTCCTTCCGTAGATGTTTTGTATTGTTGTTGTAGTTGCTGTTTTGGTAGTTGTTGTTGTAACGGTATCGGTTCCGTGGGGTTCACCAGATAAGGTTTAGGTCGTTGTTCTGCGTACACGGCTTGTTTGTTATTGCCCTGTGGTCTCGGAAAAATGTGATCGTTAGGTACAAAGTACGGCGTCAGTCTCTTAGGAGGTTCTTGCACGGCGGGAGGCAACTCTTTGTAACCAAAGTTTTTATGGTTGTTGATATTGTTGTTGTTGTTATTGTTATTGTTGTGGTTGTGATTTTGATTGTTGCCAACGGGGTTTAAGCTGTGAAACTGGAAATTTTGATAAAATTGCGGAGATGGTGGCGGTGGTGGTGGTTTTTGATAGTTTGGCTGCGGATGGCGTTGCTGGGAGTTGAATACAACGATTGCAGGAGGTTTTTGATCTTCCGGTTCGTTGTAATCATTCTGCTGGAATCGTCGATCGTTGATTTCTTCGTAATGCCTGTCAAAGTTGTAGCTGGGTCTGAAGTTCAACGTATGCGCCGGCTCTCGAGCTTCGATAGTTGAATGACCGAATTCGCTAAAAGAACCCAGTATCGACGGAGGGGGTTGAGCGAACACTTCGACTTTGTTGGAAGACGATGAATGTTGATTGAGTGGCTGATTTGGGTACCGGATCGGTGGCGTTATATGCACGACTTGTGTGAATCCATGATTATTTCTGGTCGACCTTTTATCGATACCTGATATCGGGACCCAGTCATCATGTAAGTCATTGGAAAATATCTACAAAAAAAAAACACAGAATTAATATGTTTAAATTAAACATTATAAAATCAATATATTTTGCTCACATTGTTTTCTTTGGGCAAATAGAAATGTTCGCCTTTTACGAATAAAACGTATCCTGGAAAACAATAATGTTATTGATATTAAATCAAATTACAGATGTTAGAAAATAATATTTACCTAAAAGGATACTCAGAGAAATCCAACAAGCAGATATCCTTACACTCATTGTTCAGCTGTAAAACCCATTTACTCCTAAAACAAATAATATTATTACTATTACTACTATTATGTTGTTATAATATTAGCATACTACTTAATAACATTTTATCTCTTAATATAATGTAATTTAATTTAAACAAAATATATTATTATTATACGTGTTTTTCATTCGAAATCATTCGTTACTTATATACATTTAATGTTCATTGAGAGATACTTAATTAAATCTACATCTATGTTTACTTTCTATTTATTACATAACTTCTTTTTAAATATATTTATTTTGTTATTTTTTTTTTTTTTTTTTTTTTTATGAGAATAACATTAATTATAAAAAGAAATTATTAAATATAACATACAATTTATTCAATAAAAAAAAAAAAAAAAAAAACGAAGAAAAAGTTTAGACACACTTAAATATGATAACAAACTTGTTTAAATGGGTAATATAGAGTTAGAATATTGAGGCTGGCTGTAGATTAAATGTCTTTAAAGCTTAATCTCCTATTAGCACGTAAATATTTATTTTATATTACAAAATTAATCATTAAATACTTAAAAACTAAAGTAGAAAACAAATATCTATTATTTACTGAGGATTTAATTTCACATAATTCAATTTTCATTTCCTTCTTATACGTTATTCTCAAAATATAACTACTTGTTTAATGAGAAAAATATGTAAAAAAAATTATAAAAAAAAAAAAAAAAAAACAACATCACTTCGTGACTGGTTTTCTTTGAAAGTAATTTACATCAAAGTTATAAATTATTATAATGATAATTTCACTTTGAAATATGCATTAATAATATATGAAATTATATTTGTTTTTATGACAGTTTAAAATGTTCGATTAAATTAATATTAAACAAATAAGAAAAAATGTACTATACTATATAGTACTATATACTATATACTATCATGCTATGTTATGTTATGTTATGTATTCTATGTTTTTGATTTCCACAAATGAGTTTGAAATATAAATTAACCAATAATATAATAAATTAATTTAAAATATTAAATCCTATACAATTATCAAATCAAAGCTAATACTTTGATACGTATCAATACTAAAACAGTAATAATTTATATTCATTAATAATATGAAGCATAAATACTTGTTATTATGTAAATTATAAATACTTACTAATACGATTTTAGATAGATTATTACTTTTTATTTTAATCCAATGAAAGTGGTAAATATATGTTTTTTTAGAACGCAATATTTCAACTACGTATAACAAAATACGCAGTTGAAATGTAGACACTATATTGTATACAAGTATATATAATTAATTGCATGTCTTCTGTTAACACGGCGCTCACGTTGAGCGCAGTTATTGGAAAATCAAAAATTACGTTTAAATATTTTAATAATAAATAGACTATGACATTTTAAATTGTCATTAAAATATTATTAATCGTTTTATATACGTACAAGATTGATTATTTTTTTATATTGAAATTATACATACACATAAAGTGTATTTAGTGCGTCAACAATTTAATATTAAAACAAGACATTGGAAAGATAAATGTAATGACAATTTATCAAATTATTCCAAAATAACATAAACTGAATTTGTCTGTCAATACTTATTTGAACTCAAAAAAGATAATTTTATTTTACAAACTTTTGCACATTTTACATTAAGATTAAACCGAATATAAAGTACCGGTATTGGATATTTGTTGAAAACATTTTTTAGCTCACTGATAATGTCCCAAAGTGGTCCTTTTGGTAAATAATTATTATGTATTGGAAATAATACAACAGTGGACACGTTGTTAAAATTGGAAGATTGCGATTCAGTTTTGGCGAGATAATTTTTTAAAAAAATGGAATAAAAATATCTCATTTTTGTTTTATTCGAAATTAAAGTTCAATGATTTTTGTTGTTTTTTCAGTCTAACAAAAAATAATAATAATACATGACATTTTTTGTTCTAGGGATAAATTATTTGGTGAGACAAGTGTTAAATATGTGATTTTGTCAACATTTTGACGAAGAATTTTTTTATATATTAACTAAGAACTATTATAATAATTATTATACAAAAAATGTCCAGTTAAATATGCCTTGTATGAACGCGATCACACGGCGAAATTCAAAGGATGTTTGTCATTTAAATTTCTCTAATATCGATCCAGTATCCATTGCATTCAACAAAAATCCAATGCTTTTTTTAACTCATATCTTTTAGATATAAATTTATATTCTAATCCTAAGTCAATTTCGTACGCTCATGCCCTTTCTGATTCTGAAATAACAGTAATATTGTTTCCGTAATCAAAACGTAATTAAAATTCTTTTTAAATTAATCAATTATTTGCCCATTTATATCTCTTCTTACCATCATCCTAAATAACATTAACTTTCCGTAAATAGACCAACGATATCTAATCAATCATCATTTTTCATTAAATTAATAACTAATTTTTATTATATTCAATCTGCATCATTATTGTTATAATATTTAAACTGTCTATTTATTATACAGCAATAATTGCATTATTGGCAAAGGCTCATTAAATTAAAAAAAAAACACTAATAACTATTGAGTAAAAATAATTTGCATAGTTATATAGTTTTATTTCTAAAATATAATATTCACATGAGAAATTTAAACCTTCAGTAATCATATAACTATCAAAAGAACATAAAAGTGTCTATAGATTTCACGAACATATTTCTAAATTTTCTTTTGACTTAAAATGTGTTCTACTATTTACTACTGGAATCTAATTTTTCTTTTTACTCTAAAAGATAAATTATTTATTACAATATTACCAACAAACGTTTTATTATTTACTTATATGCATACATTTTTGATGTTGATATTTTATTTCGACGGTATTTCTATAAACGGTTCTAATTTATTTCATCGTTTTTTCGTCAACAACAAATTTCATTTCCTGTTCTTTTGTCTTGCTACTTATAACAGAAGAATGTGTTGTTATGTATTCATCTGGTCAAAATTATTTCACGTACGATCGGAAAAAAAGGAAAGTGTATGACACAATAAAATATGTAAAATTCACTTTTATTAGTAATTTCGCATTTGTCTTTTTCTTATTGTTAATAAGGTATTGGCGACAGTAATATTATACATTCAAACTGTGCACATTTATATTGTTATACAAACGTCAATAGAAATTGCTTATTCAGTACCATTACCATAATATAATATGACGTATAATTTCTACAATTTGATTTAAAACATTGAGTATTCAAACTGACAGACAAGCAATTATAACATTACACCAGTATGCATCGTATGTACTTCTGTGCTATTCTTTAATCGAAGATAAATGTAAAAAAAATATTTATATATATATATATTGACGCCCGTTTAGTATCAATACTTATGCATGTTACAACAATTTCATAGGTTATTTATTATTTCACCTACTTTAAACCCTAATAAGAAACTATCCAAACCTTCCAGAATATCCTGATATTATCAAATTACTGAAACACCCTGGCATGTTTCTGTTTCTAACAACACAATAAGCTCAGATCTCAAATCTGCTCAGTCGACGAAACGACTACTCTCTACTGTAAACACTTCCACGCAAAATTCCCATTCAACTCCAACCAGTTCAATAGGAATTAGACTCATTAAAATTACCCGGGAACCCGACCAGATGACTCAAGGGGAACTGATGCCGTGACTTAAAAACTATAAACTAAATTAAAAGGCTCCGGGGAAAAATGATAGTAGTAATATTCTTAAACTTTTTAATATAGTATTTCAGTTTTAAAATTTCAGAACTCTCACCTAACTTTTGTCATTTTGGGTATATTTAAACCGTTATTATGTCACTGAATGTGATCTTTTTTCCCTAATTTGATTCACATGTTGATTCGTTCGGAAACAAATGGCAAGATAATATAATTCTCAAATACTTTTATTTTTTGTTTATTATCGTTTTTCCCGTAGATCATCAATCGTAAACATAAAGTCATTTATTTCTAAAGTGATATTTCCCACCATTCTACCATGTCATTATTCCCTTTTGGTTTCTTTTTTTATTATTCTCTCATAATTGTTATTGCTTATTGTACATATACTGGTATGTATAGATAGTAATTTTTTTCAAAATAAATTCATATATTTTTTATAAAAAAATAAAAAAGTTTATTATTTCATACAACTCATTTCGTGATCACTGCCCATAGCACACCGGCTTCACCTGGGAAAGATCTTTTTATTGTAAGAAAACTAAAGAATAATTAAACACCAGTCCACGATCTCATAGATGAGAAAACAGACAAAAGTCTACCACCAAAAACTATAATTCTTCTTACACCTTTAATGATTTTTTTCCTTATTTCCCCATTTCCGGACCATCTGGAATTTACTTCTCATAATAACTGTACCCGATAAACAACTTGACCTAACCTGACCTAGGAACAATAAAAACAGCAGGATTGCGAGTAGAAATCTACTATATAATTAAATACATATTTTTTTTTTAATGTAATAAACTTACGGTTAAAATGTAATGCTTTTTTAAGCTTTTTTGGAAGATCCCTAGAGTTTTATTGCTTTTTTTTTAAGTGATTTTCTTTATTTTTCTTTCTTTTGCTTCAAAATCCGTACTCTGACCGTTAACCACAACCATAATACATACATTTTTAGTTAATTACCATCGTAATTAGAGTCGTACGTACGTATGCACATGCAGCACGTAGATATCGGCCGTACATCTTTACGCGTTGAACAATGGTTTCTGGAGGGACCGGTTGCCGTGAAGAAAACGTGTAGGTACGCTCGAAAATCGAATATTATCGCGATCGCGGTATCCTCGAGCGCACGCGCCCATACGATGACTATCAGCGTCAGACCACGTACGTGACGTAACGTAATCGACAAGAGGTACGAGGCCATACGAACGATACGGTTCACATGTTAAGCGCAATACGCGCCGAGGAAACTTTTTTAGTTATTTTTTTTTATTTTTATTAGCGAACGCCACACGGTCCGACCGATAAAACGTGCAAGGGGTTCGCGCGAACGTA